TATATCTGTGAGATAATAGAACACTTACTACATGACCCCATAGCAGTACTGTAGGAAGTGAACATCAGAACAAATTGAGATGTACATTGGCTACGTGACTAGCTAGAGTGACCACTATGACTGCCTGTGAGCAGCCTTAACAAAATATTCCTGTATTTTTGGGGGGACTTATTTTTGTTGTTGTTGTTGTTGTTAAATTGTCCCCGCGGTATACATTCAAATACGTGGATTGCAGAATATCTACCTCTTCTCAGTCGATGAGGACAAAGGTTTCATCGGTTATGATGAGCTCCTCCTTTTGAGATGACCTTTGGGAAACTCAGGTTTTGGGTCATTCTTTCACTTATCTGTCTGTGAATCAGCATCCCAAATGACCCCTTCTCTCCTGCATGGCAGGGAGTTGCACACAAAAGTGTTCCAGTTGGAAACCACAGAATGGGAAGCTGTGTAAAGGTTCCACTGCTTTACCTGCCTGTTGGTTTCTGAGTTTGCTCTGGTCATATTTTTCCAACCTTCTTCTGCAACTACAAGGAGGATAGAATTTTTTTGTTTTTAACTGAAAGTCAAGATTCTTATGTAATCATATCTCCTGGAGCTGGGACTTTAAATATCACAAGACACACTCTCAGTTAAGTCATGAGAGTTGGCCAAAATGCAGCTGCCTTTCAGAAATGGGTTGAGAGCATCACGTTTTCAGAAGTGTGTCCGGTTACAGGGTCACATAGCTTTGGGTAGCTCAGTGTCACAAGACCATGATTTGGCTCTTTAAAAGAAGTCTTTGTCTTTGGTACTATTTGTTGTTCTGTTCCATCTCTTCAATGGGATGCAATGTAGAATTCTTCAGATCTGAATAATGGTTTTAAGAACTTCAGTTGTATCCTCTTGTTTTAGATAAATGGGCAGATCTTTAACTGATGTAAATTGACATCACTCCACTAAATCTCACAGAGCAATGCCGGTTTACACCAACCAAGAATTTGGCTCAATTATATGTTTTCTCAGTAAATAAGCTTCTGGGCAGGAATTAAGTATGTTAGTGTACTAATCATACTAAGGGATATGAGTATACTTTACATAGTCAAAGGGTCAAATGACGCAAGACTTCCAAAGCATGCAGTCCCCACAGAAATTTCTTGTTCACTATAGGCATATAGCAGTGGTGATTTTACATACTGTAGACAGGATTATGATTTTTACTATTTTAAAATGAATTCTTTAAATACTTGTCTTACCAGGAGGCAGTGAGTGGTGCAAGTAGGGAGAATCCAAGCAGCGGGTGGCTGAAGGAGTGGCCCTAGACAAGCTGTCGGCAACTGGCGCCCTAGGCGAAACGCGCGATCGGCACCCCTGCCTCCAAAGCCCTCAACGGCCGTTTATCTTGGCGACCTAGGCAACTGTCTAGGTCGCCTGTATTGACGGGCCACCACTGGGTGGCTGGAGAGAAGCAGCAATTTCCCCTTCAAACTGCTGTTTTTCTCCAGCTGCTGACTGCATGACCGCCCTCTGCTCCTCTAGAGTCCTCCAGCCAGCACTTGTGTTGCTGCCACCATCTGTGTCTCTTGCCTGTTCCCCTAAGAGCTGCTGGTGAGCTTTAGTTTTGAGTGAGGATGTTCGTAAATCAGATGTTAGTAACTCAGGGAGTGCCTGGATTATAATCTCCAAACTAATAGTGTTTGTAGTCTTTTAATTTAATAGAAAAGTATTGGGGCTGTACTGAATTGTTATTTTTTGTTGCAATTGTGCTTTGACCGAAGTTTTCACATCTTGCTGTGTTGTTGTTTAGGGAGTTCAGTTCTATTGTCCACACAGCAAGACATGGAGACAAATTGTATTCTTGTTCCTGATAATTGATTTTAACAAGGCTATCAGAGCAAACCAATTCTATTGCTATCCTTGCATGCCTATTTTGAGCCCCAAGACACACATTACATCTTAAAATATATTATGTTGATTTTTTCTTTCTTTTTTCCTTAGTAAAGCCATCATGATTTCAAGAGTAAATGGGTCTTTTAGCTGATAAATACGTGTTTTAATTCATGTTAGTAAGAGGAGCTAAGTAGCTGCTTCCTATGCCCCACACAGACAGATTAAAATAATTGGATTAAAGAAAGCTGTTAACTCACTATTAATGAGTTTAAATAGGAGTAGAGGGCACTTAGCAGGCAAACCAATAACAGTAAATTGTAGAAGGGAGAGGAGAAAATCAGAAAGTTTTCATGTTTCATGAAAAAGAAGATTGTCAGTCTGCTCCTGAGTTGCTGTCATTGCTGCGAGCCTGTTAAAGACTTCTTTTTTTTCTTCCAAATTCTTTGTGATTACGACCGTCTTATTTGCTTTCTCTTTCATTCAGCAGTGTTGACTTTTAAGGCCCAGTTTTCAAAGAGTTTGGAGGTCTCCAAAAAATGTTCACTTATCTGTGTATACCAGTGGGCCCTGCCTTTTAAAACATTGTCCCTGAGCATTTTAGGTACACATCTTTCCTCCTCCTTCTCAGTCTCCCCCACTCCAAGCTCCAATGACAAGAGGAGTGTATTGGCTGCACCAAATTCTTCCCAAATATTTTTTTTTAAAGTGACTTGGGGTAGTTTTGTAATCTGGGTTTTTCTAAATTGGTATTTTTAACCTCTGTTTTTCAGGAGAAGGCAAAAAAATCCAGGCATATATAGAAATACATGTTTACTACTGTTTTAATAAGCTGCATCCTATAATAATGTGTGGACTCTTGATGACTCTTGCACCTGTCTCTGCTACTTACAGTGCCAGGACTCTCAAGTTGTAATAATATGGTGTTATGGAAGGGACACAATATTATACATCAATTTTAAAAAGGAAGAATTAGGATGAGATTTTCAAAAGCCACCCAAATAATTTAGGTTATTGTATTCCTTTGCCTTTGAAAATCCCAGCCCAAAGAAATAAAAAAAATGAAAATAAAAAAAAGTTTGGGTCTTCAGGAGGGATCTCTACATTTTTATCTACATTTGGGGAAGATGTTCCTTTCATACAGAGGAACATGGTAGATGCATGAAGATGTTTTGCAGAAGTGGATGATTAGTGCTTGAGGGTGGCATTAGTAGTAGAGCAGAGAGGTCAGGCATCCTTCTAAGTAAGATAATTAGTTCAAGTAGCCTCCTCTCCTACCCTTTACATTATGTTAATATCCTTTAAACAAAAACAATATATGAGATACACAATAAGTTAAGAGTTAAGATGTAAAGGACACTAGTATTATAGTGATAATCTGTGATTTTGTGGTCTGGCAATATCTGTGATCTAGCAGGACCATGGATGTTGCTGGACCAGAGATCTCCTGGACCAGAGAGCCCTAGAAGGTGGGTGGTAGGGAGCCCAGCGGCTGGAGCTGTCCATGGAGTAGCAGGGAGCTCAGCTTGCTCAGGAACATGGCTGCGGTGTGGCCCAGGACTGATGACAGAGCCAACTGTTGGCAGCATCAGAACAGTGGAGCTTGGCGGTGGCAGCCCTGGTGCTGGGTGTGGTGCTTGACTGCAGTGGCCCCAAGGGCAGAGAGCCCAACTGCAGCACTGGGAGTCCAGGAAGGATGTCCTGTTGGGTCTGCTGATGGATCTCAGGAGAGCCCGGAATCTGTCAGCAGAGGGGCCAGAATTGACCTCCCCTGGCTCCAGCAAACTCCTTCTTTTGGGATCGGTCAGGTTCTGCAGGTGCTGGACCAAGGAGGTCCAACCTGTATTTCCAGATCATTTCAGTTACAATAAATTGATATTTTCTTACAGAAAATCTTCAGATATTCAATTGGAAGATTTTGAGCCAGCTGTAATGTAATGATTTATGTTCTCAGTCTGAGGTTTCACATGAATTATGGTTGCACGCTGGCTCTAATGACCCAAAGGGCTCAAGTGGATGTCAGTGCGTTGGCCTTACAAAACAGGGCTGAGGTGAAATTTGAGCAATGCATAGTCCTGGTGCTGCACAGGGATGAATTTCACCCTATGCAGACAGTGAGACACTATTGTCTCTGTTGTGCTGCTTTTTCAATGTCTGAATTGTCAAATTGCCTTTCTGAGAAAGCAGGGTCATTTTACAGCAAAAAGAAGGATGCTTTTTACGGTGTCACTGATCATATGAAGCAATATATTCTGTACAGATAAGATTATTTGAAATTTTCTAGTGTTCTCAAGGCAGAGTACAAGGTTAATAACTTTTGGGAGTATTTCATCTTTTTCAAATATTTTTCTTTAGATTTAAAGTATCCTGGGTTTTCAATTTTAACATATCAGTTTAATGTTCTGTGTTGTTTTAATCTCTTTTCCCTCAAGTTGCTGGTACGCGTTAGTAGTCTTTATGGTATGGCTTTGCCTGGGATGGACACTGAATTTGATTAGGAGCCATACAAACAGCCTTTTATTTCAATATCAATGAAATTGATGATAATATACAATCAATCAATATCCCCGTGAACTGGAATTTTTGTCTTGGGAGAGCAGTTTTATGAGGTAAAGTCATATCAGCTGAGAAACAAAGATGTCATTTGGAGTAGTGATTTGGTAAGCTGCCCTGTGGAATAGAACTGCCGTCAACATAACTGCTGATTCAAAGTTTGTTTTTACTTAGATTTCTTCCTCCTATCCCCATTTTATAAATGGCAGTATAGTATTCATAGACTGTGGTACAGCAGACTTTATTTAGAAAGCAAAATATTAAGGATTTCCACCCCCACTTCCCAAGTAACCATAAAATATTTAGCCTCTGTGTTGCTTTTGTTTAAAAGATGTTTGGGGTGTAAGGTTTTGCTTGTTAGGGCACAGGAGATTTAGAAATAGTTAAAAAAAACTATCTTGGAAGGATAGAGAAAACATCAAATGCTTCTTAACATGCTCAAAGTCATTTAACCAGATGCTTCCAACATTCTTTGGTCTATTCCTAATAAGGAAAGCGTGCACAGTTACAGTCTAGTTATGAGTTTGTACAGCCATGTGGAAGAAGGGCTTTTTTGGGAGAGGAAGGAGACATGCTCCTTCTCAACCACTCCTTGTATTTCTTCAAAGAAATCCCATTGAAAGAAGAAGCAGGGAAACCAGTTGCAATTTGTCTGCTTCTCTCCCTCTGTCACTCACTCTCTCCTACACGCTCATTTCATGACATAACTTACTGAACTTGCTGAGCATACTTTGAAGCAGTCAGATGAAAAGATCGCTTTATTTTACTTTGTTTTTGGTTTCCTAAGATTAATTATAGTACAAGTCTCTGGCAACAAAAGGTATTGTGGGAGTCATAGCTGCTCCAGCTGGGCTATTTCTCAGACACTTAATACATAGTTTGAGGAAAACTACATCATTTTTTACAAAAATTCTAAATCTGACTCACGTGCTTGTTCCAAGTGAAGTTTGATCAGATTAGAAAAGACACCGGAGACGCAGCACAATTTAGTTAATGGGTAAGCAAACAAAATGTGTGTATATGTGTAGTGTGCTGGAGATAACTGTAATGGAGTATTTGTGATAACTCTAATTTATTGCATTTTAATTTTTATTTGCTGTAGCTAACTTTTAAGAAAACAAACACTTCTTGCTTAGTAAGAAAAAAATGGCATATCTTCCGAGCTTATTATTTAGCAGGCTCTGAAATCTATTCCATGAATGAGCTAAAGCCTCTCAAAGACCTTTTATTCTGAGACTTGTTTCATTATCTTTCATGTTTTCATAGCTAGCCTGTGAGCAGCAAAATCCATGTAATGATCTGTGGCTTGTATGTTTCAGTTTTGTTTAACTGTTTTAATCATATGCTGAGCTGCTTTGAAATCTGTGTGTTTTATCATTTTTCTAAGTGCGCATGAAGGCTCTGTAACCCTCCAATATACTATTATAATTGCATACATTTAGTTTTGTAAAACACCATCTCCTGTAAGCCTTGTGTTTTATAGATTAGCTAAACTGCCTTCTTGTATCTCTAAATTCCAGTTAGTTGCCATGATTTGTAGGGTATAATAAGAGCTGTCCATTCGCTGGCTCAGTCCTGGAGGAGCTTGTAACTCTAGCAATTGTTTCTGTTTTTCATAACAGTGGGAACTTATGGGCTAATTTTCCCTCTCCCTGTCCAAAATAAATGAGCTGCTCAAAGCAAAGAATGAAATTGCAGCCGAGTTAGGCACACAGTCTGAATTTGGGGTATCTGAGATTAGAGGACAATTTACAAAAGACTCCTCTCTTGA